ATCGCTTTACGTTTTCATAAAAACTTTGCAACTTTTGTAAACAGCTATATATACGCAGTGGAAAAGTGGTAAAATTTTGCAAAGTTGTAACAAAACAGATTTGTTGTGAACTAGTGTAAATGATTTGCAACTGTTAATATATATCAAAAGAAAGGTAAACCGATTACCTTTCTTTTGATTATAATATTGTTAAAATCGCTTAACTTTTTTATAGAAATTTTGCAACTTTTGAAACCGTCTATATATAAGTCGAAAAAACGCAATCAAATTTTGCAAAGTTGTAATGAGACTGAATTTTTGTGAACCATTATAAATGATTTGCAACTTTTAATATATATCAAAAGAAAGATAAATCGATTACCTTTCTTTTGATTATAATATTATTAAAATCGCTTAACTTTCTTATAGAAATTTTCCAACTTTTTAAACATCTATGTGCAAATGAGTAATACTAATAATAAGAAATTAAGCCAGCGCATATGTATGTATGTAAAAATATATTAATTAATGTTGATTACAAGTTTTATTCATAATATTGGTTATTAACTATGTATATTATGCATTTTGAAAATAAATTTTGCAAAATAAAAATCAAAATATTTTAGGATTTTTTATTTAAAGTTTCTAAGGTTATTTTGAATTCGCTGTGAAGAGAATGCAACCCTGAGCCGGCAGAAGGGGGCAATGCTAGACGAGTGCAGCTATATGTTTTCCTTACGAAGTATCTGAATGAGTGCGACAGTGATGCAAGGCTCACACGTACAGGGGGAAAGTGGTGACAATCTGCACACCGCCCATATAAATGTCACCAGTTTTGAAGTGACCGAAACCCGCGGTTTCACCAGATTGTTCACCACTTTTGGCTGGCAGGGTTATGTTTAAGCTTGAAGTCACAATAGCACAGTATTTTGAAGTTAAGTGTTATTATGGTGATGCCACAGATGGCGCGCTTTAACGGCTTCGTTCATGTACGAATTGTGTAGTTTATATTGCAGAATTGAGTAAGAATTCGTGAATCATTTCATGGAAATCATGAAAACTAAAGCGGCATAAATATTTAGCAGCTATCAATACTAGTCAAAAGTTTTGCAAAAAATGTTATTTGTAACTTTTTATTTTTACAGTTAAATATTTAAGTGTTTTCTGATATTATTTTAGACATAATAATCTATTGGGGGAAAATAGTGTATTTAAAATTTTTTATAAAGAAATAATGTTGTCTTGATGTTGTATTTAGTGGTAAAGATATATACTCGTATATAAATATATATAAGAACTGAGGAATACAAAAAGAATTTTATGTTAAAGATTAAGATTTTGAATGCCATCTAAAGTGCACGATGACTCACACGTGAAAGATTTTGTTAGTTGTGACGACTTTATATAATTTTCACCAGTTTATAGTTACGGTATGCGTAGTAGCGCGTAAAGAGCGGTTACAAAATCGAATCCCAATACGATCACAATATGGTTTTCGGCTTTTATATTTAAATTTATGTAAGTATATTCACTACATTTGGAATGAAAAAGTTTAATTTGATGTGAATTACTTGGAAAAAATTGTATTTATTTATTACTTCAATAGTAAATATTTTACTGTAGAAAATTAGTAATAGATTACCTACTTATTAACGGATAGGCTTTTTAAAAGACCGTAATTGTATTAAGTACCGCCGCCGAAGAAGTAGTCGGATTTCAGCGAGCCCGAAAGAACAACTGGTACGATGAGGAGTGTCAGGAAGCTGCAGAGAAAAAAGATGCCGCCTACAGGGCCACGCTGCGATCGGGCGCAACGCGCGCTATGTGGGACCGCTATAGGGATCTGAAGAGGGAAGCGAGACGTATTTGCCGCAACAAGAAGAGAGAGGCAGAAATACGTGAGTGCGAAGAGCTTGAAATGCTGGCCGACAGGAGGAATGCCCGAAAATTTTACCAGAGAGTTAGGCGACTTACGGAAGGTTTAAAGACCGGGGCGCACTCCTGTAAGAACAATAATGGCGACCTAGTAACTGATGTCCAGAGCGTACTTAAATTATGGAGGGAACACTTTTCCGCCCTACTAAATGGTAGCAGCACAGAAAGTTGTGGAGAAGAAGAACCCGAGCCCGCAGTCGATGATGACGGAGTCGACGTTCCACCGCCTGACTATGACGAGGTACGTATAGCAATAACGCGGCTGAAAAACAACAAAGCCGCTGGAGCTGACAGCCTGCCAGCTGAGCTATTCAAGTACGGCGGCGAGGAGTTGATAAGGTGCATGCATCAACTCTTGTGCAGAATATGGTCAGATGAACGCATGCCCGACGACTGGAATTTAAGTGTGCTCTGCCCAATCCACAAGAAAGGTGACCCCGCCATTCGCGCCAACTACCGCGGGATCAGCCTTCTAAGCATAGGTTACAAGGTCTTATCGAGCGTATTGTGTGAAAGACTGAAGCCCACCGTCAATGAACTGATTGGGCCTTATCAGTGTGGCTTTAGACCTGGCAAATCCACCATAGACCAGGTATTCACAATACGCCAAATCTTGGAAAAGACCCGCGAGAAAAGGATCGACACTCACCACCTATTTGTCGACTTTAAAGCCGCTTTTGACAGCACTAAAAGGAGTTGCCTATACGCCGCTATGTCTGAATTTGGCATCCCCTCAAAACTCATACGGCTGTGTAAAATGACGTTGAGCAATACCACCAGCTCCGTCAGAATTGGAAAAGACCTCTCCGAGCCGTTCGCCACAAAACGGGGTTTCAGACAGGGCGACTCCCTTTCATGTGACTTCTTTAATCTGATGTTGGAGAAGATAATAAGAGCTGCAGAACTGAACCGCTCAGGAACAATTTACTACAAGAGCGTGCAATTGCTGGCTTATGCCGATGACATCGACATCATCGGTAACAAAAACCGCGAAGTCTGTTCTGCCTTTTCCAAGTTGGATAGGGAAGCAAAGCGCATGGGTCTGGTGGTAAACGAGGACAAGACGAAGTATCTCCTGTCATCAAACAAACAGTCAGCACATTCGCGCCTTGGCACCCACGTCACTGTTGACAGTTACAATTTCGAGAAAGTAGAGAATTTCGTTTACTTGGGAACCAGCATTAACACCGATAATAATGTCAGCATTGAAATCCAACGTAGAATCACTCTTGCCAACAAGTGCTACTTTGGACTGAGTAGGCAATTCAGGAGTAAAGTCCTCTCTCGACGTACGAAAACCACGCTCTATAAGTCACTCATCATGCCCGTGCTGGTATATGGCGCAGAAGCATGGACAATGACAACATCCGATGAGGCGGCTCTTGGAGTGTTTGAGAGAAAGATTTTGCGGAAGATTTACGGGCCTTTACGCGTTGGCGACGGCGAGTACCGCAGACGATGGAACGATGAGCTGTATGAGCTTTACAACGATATGGACATAGTGCAGCGAATTAAAATACAGCGGCTCCGCTGGCTTGGCCATGTCGTTCGAATGGACACCGACGCTCCAGCTCTGAAAGTATTCAACTCGGAACCCGCTGGTGGTAGCAGAGGAAGAGGGAGGCCCCCACTGCGATGGAAAGATCAGGTGGAGAAGGACTTGGCTTCACTTGGCGTTTCCAATTGGCGTCAGTTGGCACAGAGGAGAAACGACTGGCGTGCTTTGCTGAACTCGGCCAAAATCGCTTAGGCGGTTACAGCGCCAAAAAAGAAGAAGAATAATTGTATAAAAAAAATGTTGTGCGCACTTTACGAATTCGTACCTAATTCTGTATACATTTTTGACTTCATAATTCATGAACAAAGGAAACCCCTATAGCGCGCCATCTACCTACTGACATCGGCAATTAGTATTGTAAAAATATTGAAGTGCTATTGTGACTGTAGGCTCGGTTTGTTTTTGTTTATTTGTTATTGACGTTTGGTCTTCTTTTTGCTCATGAATAAATCACAATAAGCAATTTTCAGAGTTGTATTCGCGAATTCAATTTCGCTGAAAATTCGTACGCAATTTCACGTGATATTTTTTTATATGGTCAAATTGAGAATTGTATCGCGATTTCAGCTGAAATTGAGGATGAATTTTATACCACAACTTTGATATTGTACCACAATTTCCAATTTTTGGCTATTCTACAATGTTATTTTTTTTTATTTCATTGACTACTGCAAATTATACTATATATATAATATAATTACATCTATAAGAAAATTGAGGTTATTGAAGCACAGTATTTTCCTAACGATATCTGATTTGCCACTTGATGACAAATGCCAGTGACAAATATACAAATATTGTTGAGCGGTATTGCCATTTCGTGCTTGTGAACCTTTGTATTTTCCAATTTTAGTAAAATTTTAATATGATATTCGTATCTGAAAACTACCGAAAAATATCACGTTATTTGAAAACAATAATTTTAAAATATTTGCTCAAACTGAACATTTGAAAAGTTCGACAGTAGCTGAGTGTGCAGAGAAGCGTGCGATGCAGTAAAATCTGCATACTCAGAATTTTAAATACACCCTCAAAATCTGGGCTAAAGGTCGAAAACCGCGTGTTTCAAAGGGTGACGCACAGGTATACTTGCTCGTAACTTTATTTCTGTTTACCCGGTGAAAGATACGTATTTATGTATGTGATTCAAGATAAGACATTTCGCTGCTTACAACAATGTTTAAATTGATAATTTATCTTAAGAAATGGCAAAGGAATCAGTCATCGGACTTAAAAAAAAATGTGTGTTGTTGGAACTTAAAACATGTGGTAGATTTCAAAAATATGTGGTAGATCTCAGGTTTTGGATCAAACTTTGTACAAAAATTAAAAAAAAATCTGCAAGGTTTCTCCTAAATTGCAAACATTTTAATTAGAATCTAAAACAAAATTAATTTTAGTATAATAAAGTGCAAGATTGAAGCTGATAAAAATTGCGTTAAGTTTTAGCAATTTTTTTTTCTTGAACGTGTAAAGCAGTTCCTTCCATATCAAGATATTTTCCAACATATTTTGAAAGATTTCTGCAACCTTGCAGAGTGCTGCCAGCTTTTCTTTTTATCACATCACGATGTAGCGAACAAATGTAGCACGTTCCTGAAATGCTACTTGTGATTTGCCGATTTTGACAATTCTCAAGTAAAAGTAAACTACGCTTTAGAAATTTGAAATGCACTGAAATTTGCTAATGCTTTCACAAAAATCGCCGGTTTTTATCATTTTCGCTATAAATTCTTTTTATAAATCATATATTTTGCAATTTAACACGATAAAACCATGTTTGATGTCGAAAAATTGAATATTGAGAAAATTTACTATTTTACAGTTTATTTTATCCCCCCATTCTGCCTGTTGTTAGTGTTTAGTGTTGGACAATTTTTGCTCTTAAAATTAAGAAAATTATGTTGAGCAAAAATAAAACTACTCAAAAACGCGAATATGTGGTAGATTTCAGACCTTGTGTGGTAGGTGTGCTCAAAAAAGTGGCAGATCTACAACAATGTGGTAGAAGTCTGATCACTGAAAGGAATCTTACAGAGTATATCGATGGCTGAGTGGAAGATCGACCTATCTCGGCAACCAGTTCGAAAACGCCCTTTCTCAGAACATTTTTTAACAACGCGCTATCTCAGAAAACTTTTCAAGAACGCCCTACTTCAGAATTTCATTGAAAAATGCCCTATCTCAGCTTCCGATTCAAAAACGCCCTATATCAGCTTATTTTCAATGTATTTTCGTTTGAGATAGGGCGTTATTAAACCAAATTCTGAAATAGGGCATTTTTCAATCAAACTTTGAAGTAGGGCGTTCTTGAAAAATTTTCAGAGACAGGGAGTTTTTGAACTGGCTTCCGAGATAGGTCGATCTTCCACTCAGCCACCGATATGCAAAATTTAAAT